CCGGCAGCGCCCTGCGGGGGCCGCGAGCCCCGCGCCCATCCGGGCCGACCCGCCCAAGCTGGCTAAGCCTCCGACGCGGGGTGCGAGAGCGGTCTCGCCGTCCCCTCGCAGGCTCCGAGCCGGTCCCCGAGCTGCCGCGCTCGCCAAGTGCCGCCGCCGGCCAGGCGCTCGGAGTCGCAGCGCTAGCCCGGAGCCCGTGGGCAGCCGCTCTCGGCTCGGCGGACCGAGCTGGGGCTGGACCGCGGGACTAGCCCCTTGCTCCGCGAGCCCCGTGCGCCGGGCAGGGAGAGCGCGCGCCGTCCCGGCTCCGCGCGGCCCCTCCGCGAAGCTCCAGCGACGCCGACCTCTGGGCCGGAACAATCAGCCACTCGCTGCGAGCGTCCCCTCTGCCCAGCCGCGGCGAGTCCCCCAGGCCCCGCCCCGGGCCGCGCGCCCGCACACACCCCCTCGGCTCACCGCCCCGCGACCGCCGGCTGGCCCACGTTGGATGCTTTGCAGCCGGGCCCTGCCACGCCCCTCATCTGCTCTCATTGGCTGCCAGACTTCACGACTGCTAGCCTCGAGAGCCATTGGAGCGCTCACCGTAATCCCGCCCCTCCCGCCTCGGCGGCCACCCCGCCCCCACTCTCTTTTCCCACCCAAGGTGTGAAGGGCGGGGGATTGGGAGGAGAAAGAGGATGGGACAGACCCCCCTCCCCTCTCCTCTTAAAGGGGACGAACCAACTCTTTTGATGAAAAAGGAAGATGCTGCCTGGGAGGGGCCGGATCGAAAAATATGTCCGTCCCGTCGTCCCCCCCCCCAAAAAAATAGAAAAAGATATGCCCTCTGGGTTTATAGGAGAGATCATTGGTTCAGAAGATTACATCTCTCTTTGGAACTTTCTGGTCCGGAGTTTTCTTGCCTCTTCTCCAGGCTGCAAAAGTAACTAGTGTTTTAGGGCAACCCTTCACTCATTTTCCAGGTTCCCACAAGGAGCAAAATTGCTAAGTCACAGATTTAAAAATGCACACACTTCTTACTGAGTTGGAGCATCGTTATTTCATAAAGGATGGCCTCGTTCTCCCCCAAACAACCTGGAGCTTGTTTCTCCTCATGACTCCTTGACGTCTGAAATCCAGCAATATGTCCTTGATTAATGGGGTTACCCAAGAAAGTATGTGTTGTAGAAATCAAATCTCAAAGATGGAGCTAGTTAACTGAAGGATACTTATGGAAATATTTGCTACAACCTTAGATACAGAGTTTCTTTTTTCCAACTAGAGCTTCTTTAAGCCAAAATTACCCAACCCAACCCTAAACCCACATACCTCTGGTGGATTCAGATTCATAGCAATCCTATGGAACAGGGTAGAACGACCCCCGTAGGTCTTTTAGGACTATAAATCCTTACAGAAGCAGACTGCCCTTTTTTTCTCCATTGAGAGGGAACTGGTAGATTTGAACTGCCCGTCTTTTGGGTTGTAGTTGAGCTCTTACCAGGCTCCCTCAAGAAGCCATAAAACTCGGACTCCACCCCCTGTGGGTTTCTGAGACTGAGTGTTTATGGGAGGAGAAAGCCCAGTTTTTCTCCTGCCGAGCTGCTGGTGGTTTCAAACTGGGGACCATGCAGACCACAGCCAGTTCATAGCCACTGCTTTACCAGGCAGGGCTCCGTTGGGCACTCCAAACACAGCAGAGAGAGAAGTGTCTGAACTTTCATTCTTACAGTTCAGAGCACAGAACCATGTGTTAATGAAACAGTAAGGCAAGCAAGCACACACATATGTACACACACTTATGAAAAAATAATAGATTAGCACTGTAGTATGCAGCTGCCCCTGAGGGTGTTTTGGTTTGCCAGAGGTCTCCTATCCCTTCCCAGGGTCTGCAAGTCTCCACCCTAACTGCTCACATTGTCAGGAAAGTTAAGCCCAGCAAGTCTGCTGAAAACCATTTGCTCCAGTAAATTAATCTGACTATACCTTATTAAAATGGAGGAAGGAGATGTTCCTCACCAAAACACACACAAGTCAAAAGAAATTTTGTCCTGTTTTTTGGCTTGAATTGATTATGTACCAAATATGTTCCACTTGCCTGCATCCATTAGATAGCTTCTTTTCCTTAACCAACATTGGGTGTGTACTTGGTAATAAGGGACTGCCAATGTCCTTTCTTCTGTCCATAGCCCCCTACCTGTCATGCTCCTTCTCCTCTCCACCCCCTCTCTTCTTTCTGATTCACTATATGATTCATTTCATGATCTCAGCAGTGATGCCCAGAGTAGTGCTGAAATCTGTGTGTGAATCGATCCAAATATGATTCCCAACAAACATTATCAGGGAAAATGCTCTACCTGACCCCTTTTACCCAGGGTTTTAACCAGCTTTTCTGTCATATTTGAAATCCACAAGCATATATATACCTTCAATCTGGATGAAAAGAAATGTCTCTTTGTTAATCCTTATGTTAGATTTGGTAAAATGGTAGAAAGTATGCTGAGCGTGATGAATAGTGGAAAATGGGATTTAAAGGACCCCAAATTCATGTATGTTTCTTAAATTTTTCAAGACCATAAAAATATATATCCAATTCAATGTTTACAACCCATAAATAGTTCCTTAAAAGAAATTGTCCCCTAGACCCTCCAAAATCAGCCAGCATGTTAAAGAAAAAGAAACTGAATTTATTGATCCTCTGGAAATGCCCATCAAATTATTTTTAGGGTTCTTTTTTTTATAATTGTTAGTATTATAAAATGGATCTTTAACATTACATGCTTTCCAAATGGCCGTGGGTGTACCTGTCAGATGTTCTTTGGGGCTCTCAGGCGTCTAGAGAAGAGAACTTAAGACTCTGCTAGGTCAGGGTATGCCCAACCCTAAAGCAACCTCTGTGATCTGGTTCCCATAAAGCCTGGAAGAAGGATCCCAAGGCTAAGCCTGTAACGAGGATCACCTGGGGGGACTGGATGCCTGCGTCTTGGCAGTTCCTCTGTCTACAGCACAGCATGAAATCATGTCTGCTCGCCATACCATGTATGGAAGTTTGCCCACATACTGGCAACCTGCTTGTGAGTGAAATGAGAGTGTAGGCTCCAAGAGAAGTGCTGTGGCGCTCAGGGCCGAATTCATCTGTGGCTACAACCTAAGATCAAGGAAACCTGAACAGCAAGAGTATGCCTCTCAGGCAGCCTTGTCCCTGCTTATAAGCGAGCCGGCTTAGGCCCGGTCAGCACTGGCCAGCAGTTCATTTGAGCCATTGGCACCTTCACAATTGTCAATTATTCCTTGAGGGGACTTTCCAGAGATTTTAGACTTTCCAGTTGGTTTAAATCTACCAGATTCCAAACCCCAGAGCCAGCATGGAATCATACCCCCAGCGGGAAATACTGCTGCTCTCTTTCAAATACAGAAGCCCTGGCAGGTTATCATCGTAAAACCACCGAAAAAGTGGAATCCAGAATGAAGTAGCCCGAAACCACCAAGAGTTTGGGAGAGAAGCAAATGACAAAATAACAAGAAATCACATGATCACAGGGATTTCTTTTTTAATACAATCATTGCCACGAATGTGAATGGCGGCAGTTTATCACAATTCTGTGGAAGATCAGTTGCTGACCTCACATAGCATACCCCACGTACATCAGAGTCAAATTGCGCTCCATAGGGTTTTCTGTGGCTGATTTTGGGGGAAGGACCATCAGGCCTTTCTTCCAAGGTGCCTCGGATTAAATAAACCCTTTTCATTTGGTTGGCAGCCAAATGCATTCAACACTCGCATTACTCAGGAACTCCTTCTTACTGTTTGGCGTGGAAATAATGGGTGGTTTTAAAGAGTGGTGAGATTCAGGGGTGCTTGCTCGGTGTTAGAAGAGATTCCATATTATACAAACAGCACTGGAGCAGCTTGCAGAAGACCTGGATTCCAGTCATGAGACCTTTGGCCAACTGTTTCCTTTCCTTAAGCCTCAGCTTTCCGAAATGGCGAAGGCGGGGATGATGCCACTGCACCGGATGCTACAGAGTTAGCAAACAAGCAAGCTCACTGCCGTCAGTCAATTCCCACTCACAGCTGTGCTGTAGGACAGGGTAGAACCGCCCGGTGAGTTTCTGAGACTGTAAGTCTTTGGGGAACAGAAAGCCTCCTCTTTCTCCCCAGAAGCGGTTGGTGGTTTCAGACTGCAGACCTTGGGCTCAGCCACCCAATGCGTGACTACTACACCACTGGGGAAGGATTTATTTTGATGAAAAGACATGAGGGATTTTCTAAACTTTCTCATTGCCACCGAGTCCATTCCAATTTGTAGGGATCCCAAAGGATAAAGTGGAACTACCCCACCAGGTTTCTAAGACTGTACGTCTTTATGGAAGCAGCCGGCCACATCTTGCTCCTACAGAGTGCTGGGCAAGTCCATGGTGCTGGCTGTTCAGTTAGCAGGCACGTACGTAACCATTGCCAACAGGGCTCCTCATAAACTCTTGAAAGCTACATCAAACTAAGGTTTATTAAGGCGCAAGTAAGTTTTAACTCTGAACAATAGAATAGCGGGGTGGAGGGGCGGGGTGAGGAGGGTGATGGGATTTGGGGAACAAACAATGAATGCAGGAGGAGTGAGGGAGCATTAGAACTGATTCTGATGATGTATATACTACTTTTTTTAAAGTCACTTCACTATGGAAGTATATGATATGTGTATATTATATCAAGAACACTACTGAAAAATAAACCACCCTTGACCAATGGTTACCATCAAGGGTGAAGGAGGAAGAGTTGTTGCTTTGGGCATTGAGTTTATATGAATAGTGGGAGAATATTTGGAAAAGGAGATCAATCATGGTCGCACAACACCAAGATTATAATCAACGGCACTGAATCTTATATGAAGAAGTTGAATTGGAGAATGTTTTGTTATGTATAGTTTTGCCACAATTAAAAATTAGTTGCACAAATAACAATGAGTATAAGGAAGAAGAAAACGTTCTAGAATTGAATGTGGTGATAATTGTACAACTCTTCTTGATATGATTGGATTATTGAATTATACGACATGTGGCTGAAGTGCCAATAAAGCTGTTTAAAATATAAGAATGGAATACACACAAGCACACACATACAAACACACTATAGGTGGGAAATCTTCGAAGGTTGTTTGAGCATAGAGGGCCCCCTCCAAGCTCCAGGAATGCCACAAATGGTTAATAATTACCTATAACCCTCCTGAAGACCAGTAGGGTGATGACAGCCCTGCTTCTCGCCTGTTTTATATCGCTCTTCCAAGGAAGATAAAGCTGTGTACTCATTAACTGCTTCCTTGCAATAATCTTGTCAGGGAGATGAATTGGTGAAAGTAACCAGAAGCTAATGAGTTTGGCGATGAGATGGCGGTAAGATCTCCCTGTCCCCATGCCCATGTTTTCCTTGGATGGGACGGGAGAGGTGCAATCTCGGGCTGTTGGAATATGGGTAATGCCTACACAGTGGGGCCAGATGCAATTTTTAAATTGGCTAATGCCACACTTCAGCAGCAAACCTTCACAGGCC